TCTACCATGGCAGGATTTGAACCCAGGTCCCAGTGGTGCCTGTACCTCACTTTTTAAGAGATTCTTTGTTCCTACTTTATCCGGGTGGCAGGTGTCTCAGTGGTTAGCACTGCAGCCTCACAGCACCAGGGACCCAGGTGGGATTCAAGCCTCAAGTGGCTCTCTTTCCCCGTGTCTGCATGGGTTTCCTCTAGATGCTCCCGTTTTCTCGCACAGTCTAAAGATGTGCAGGTTAGATGGTTTGGCCATGGGAAATGCTGGGTTACAGGGATAGGGTAGGGGGTACGTCTGGTAGCATCCTCTTTGGAGGGTCGGTCTGGACCCTATGGTCTGAATAGCCTTATTCTGTAAAGTAGGGAATTCTACGAACATGAGCTGAGTTTCTGAATTAATAGTCTAGCGATAATACCACTCTGCCATCACCATGCATTCAACTCCCAATGTTATTTATTTAAGTTTGCGTGCCCTTCAGGAAGTTATTCAGAGAATATTGTCTTTGTGGTTTTGTTTTGAAGTCGGTCCCTTAGCTGCATAAACAGATCCTCTTTGCTAGTGATAACAAAGTGTGGAGCTGGAGGAACACAGCAGGCCAAGCAGCATCAGAAGAGCAGGAAAGCTGACGTTTCAGGTCGGGACCCTTCTTCAGAAGCTGCCTGACCTGCTGTGTTCCTCCAGCTCCACACTGTGTTATCTCTGACTCCAGCATCAGCAGTTCTTACTATCTCTCTTGGTTCCATTAAATTTGTCTACTACTCCAGTGACATATTTCACCTCATTCTCTGTGCCAAACTTCAGGAAAGAAATGAAGGCAACAAGAGACAATGCAGAAAAAACATGAACAAGAATGACCCGTGGATGTAGAACCCTTTAGTTAGGACAGATTAAACAGGTTTGGACTAGTTTTCTTGGAAAAGAGAAGATTGAGAGGAGATTTGATACAGCTATTCAAAATCATGAAGGCTCTTGATAGAATAGGGTAAACTATTCCCATTAATGAAAGGATTGCGAACAAGAGGGTGCATGTTGAGGATGTTAACAAAAGAAGCAATGGGGACATGAAAGAGTTTCCTTGCAGCGAGTTCTTCAGATCTAGAATGCACTGCCTGAGAATTATCTGAAAAGGAAGAATGTGCTGGAGTTCTGTGGAGAAGGTAGTGGAATGGCACTAGGGAAATAGATCCTTCAGAAAGCCACTGCTTGGTAACATTGTTCACAACACCTTCCATCACTGGCCTGGCAGTAATTGTGTACAAGATATACCTGGGAAATTTTTCCACATTGGGTAGAAGCTAGTGTTGTGACTGTTCTGGATAAGCATGACCAGGGGAGCAGCAAGTTCTGGAGCACAAATCTATAGTACTACCAGAATGTTGTCAGGGCCCATAGCCTTTGCAGTATCCAGTGCCTCCAACTGTTTTGTGATACCACATGGAGTGAATCAAATTAGCTGAAGACCAATCTGTGATGCTGGGGACCACCAGAGAAGGCTGAGTTGGATCATCCACTGGGCACTTCTGGCTGAAGCTTGCTGCAAGTGCTTCAGCATTATCTCTTGTACTGATGTGCTGAACTCTGTCACTGAGAATGCAGGTATTTGTGGAGTCTCTTACTGCAGTTAGTTCTTTCATTGTCAACCACCATTCATGATTCACGAGTGGATTTTTTGAAAACTCGCTGATGGGATGTGAGCATTGCTGGCTGGACCAGCATTTATTGCTAGTCACCCTTGAGAAAAGGTGGTGGTGAGCTGTCCAGTTGAACTGCTGCAGCCCACGTGCAGACCCAAAATGTCGTTATGGAGGGAATTCCAGGATTTAGACCTCAGGACACTGAAGGAACTGCCAAATATTTCCAGGTCAGGATGGTGAGTGCCTTGGAGGTGAACTTCAGGGTGGTGGTGTTCCCATGTATCTTCTGTCTTTGTCCTTCTAGATGGAAGTGGTTGTGGATTGGGAAGGTGCTGTCTGAGGATCTTTGAATTACTACTGAGCATCTTGTAGGTAGTACATACTGCTGCTACTGAGCTTTCGTGAAGGGTGTTTATAGATGTGATGCCAGTCAAGCGGCTGCTTTGTCCTGGATGGTGTTGAGCTTCTTGAGTGTTGTTGGAGCTGCACCCATCCAAGCAAGTGGGGAGTATTCCATCACACTCCTGACTTGTGCCTTTGTAGATGATGGACAGGCTTTGGGGGAGTCAGGAAATGAGTTACTCACCGCGGTATTCCTAACCTCTGATCTGCTGTGGTAGCCACTGCGTTTATATGGTGAGTCCAGTTGAATTTCTGGTCAATGATAGTTAATAGTGGGGTATTCGGTGATGGTAACACTATTGAATGCCCAGTAGCATTGGTTAGATTGTGTCTCTTTGGAGATGCTCATTGCCTGGCATTTGTGTGGCATGAATGTTATGATGTGGCAGGAATACAAAATTGAGATCTGATCATGTTGAGTCATTTGGCTCTGCCTAACACGGGTTGCCTTATGTTGTTTATCCTCTGTTTTCCTGTGTTGTGGCTCCAGTAAGTTGACACCTCATTTCTAAGTAGTTAATCTTGCATGTCTTAACGAGCTTTACTGCCAATATTTTTGTTTTCACTCTCCTACACTAAATTACCATGAAAATGCATCCAAACAAAAGAACAATTGACTCCCAGCAGGTTAACTTGGGCTGACACAAAACAGTATCTATTAAATATTAATTAAAATTTATAGTCACATATACATTCCCTACACAGGTCCCTGCCGTTAGCTAGCTTTTCATTTCTTGTTACTGAAGTTTACAGTTACAAGGTCACCCGTTCTGGTGCAAGTCTTTCTCTCGGAACTTGGTGAGTGTTTGTTCAGAACCCATTTTCCGAAAAGATGGTGGAAACAGAATTCTTGAATATTGTTAAGCCAGAGGTAGGTAGATTCTTAGCTGGGACTGAAAGGGAGGTGAATTGAATCAGAGATAGTAGGAACTGCAGATGCTGGAGAATCCGAGACAACAAGGTGCAGGGCTGGATGAACACAGCAGGCCAAGCAGCATCATAGGAGCAGAAAGGCCCGAAACGTCAGCCTCGACCCTTCATCAGAAAAGGCTGCTGAAGGGTCTAGGCCCGAAACGTCAGCCTCGACCCTTCATCAGAAAAGGCTGCTTGGCCTGCTGTGTTCATCCAGCCCTGCACCTTGTCTCTGAAAGGGAGGTGAGTGTTTTTACTCCTGATAACCTAAGTTGCTGGAAAAGCTCAGCAAGTCTGGCAGCATCTGTGAAGGAGAAAATCCAAGTTTTTTTCCTTCACAGATGCTGCCAGACTTGCTGAGGGAAAAACAGCATCCGCAGTTCTTTCGGTTATCAGGAGTAGGCAGGAATGTGGATTTGAGCTTCCAATCAAGGAAGCCACGATCTTATTAAATGTTGCAGCTGTCTCAAGGCTGAATGGTTGACTCCCATTAATAACTCGTGTGTATGTTCATACACTGAGCACTGCTCCCTTGTTGTGTCTGAAGTGGCTGACTGATCTCTCTTCACTTCTGACGTCCATTTGCAAATCTTTGCCCCAAACAAAAGGCTGAGCTGATCATTATACTCTCCTTGTCACATCTAGATCTGTCTTGTTCATGTTTGCTTTGTCAAAGCTTTGGCACTGTCAGTGATCTCCTCCAGTTTTAATAACACTGCTGTGATCTCATTTGTGAGTTTATGCTTTTGCCACTTTTCAGGGTATTCCTCCAGAAGTGTGGGCACTGCATTGACCCATGTGGCATTGTCTGACCAAGTTGGCAGAGTCTTATGTCATGGTCTCCTCTGGTAGCCCTGAGGAAAAACTCTCCTCTCCATCACCTAGTCCACCGTACCTCAAGATTCCTGTCAACAATGCAGGTTGCCAGTTTGCCTCTGTCAGTCAAGTCCAGAGCAATATCATTGACCAGAAATTTAACTGGACTTGCCGTATAAACACAGTGGCTACAAGAGCAGGTCAGAGGTTAGGAATGCTGTGGTGAGTGACACTCATCCTGACTTCCCAAAGCTATCTACAAGGCACAAGTCAGGAGTGTGATGGAATACTCCCCACTTGCCTGGATGGGTGCAGCTCCAACAACACTCAAGAAGCTTGACACCATCCAAGAACAAAGCAGCCCGCTTGATTGGCACCACATCCTCAAGCATCCACTCCTTCCACCGATGGTCAGTAGCAGCAGTGTGTATGCACTGAAAGTTGCCAACGATCCTTAGACAGCACCTTCCAAACCCATAACCACTTCCATCTAGAAGGACAAGGGCAGCAGATACATAGAAACATGGCCACCTGCAAGTTCTCCTCCAAGCCGCTCATCATCCTGACTTGGAAAATATATCGCAGTTCCTTCAGTGTTACTAGGTCGAAATCCTGGAATTCCCTCCCTAAGGGCATTGTGGGTCTACCTACAGCACATAGACTGCAGCAGTTCAAGAAGGCAGTTCACCACCATCTTCTCAGGACAACTAGGGATGAGCAATAAATGCTGACCCAGCCAGCAACACCCACATCCCATGAGTGATTTAAAAATAAATCCTTCATACTCAGGATCTCCCAACTGACAGCACTTGATCCGACACACAACAGTTTTAAAGATAGTGTTGGCGCTAAATTTCCTGGGAGGTCTCAGCAGTTTTACGTATTCGTGCAGCTTGCGAGAGCATGATGATATGAGCCAGGTGTCATTGTGGCATACCACCTTGATCCTAAAGTGATCTTCAGAGAACTGTGTGAGCAAGAACTGCTGATACCCACAAAGACAAACTTTCTATGAAACTCTTTGAAATTGGCTGAGTCTTTGGTCAAGTTGAGCACATTGACTCTGCTTCTCAGTCCATAAACATTGTCAGACCCTGTTGAGCAGTTCCAGCATTTTCTGTTTTTATTTTGATTTCCAGCAACCAAAGAGTTTGTCTTTTGGGCTCAAAGCCAGTACATGTCAAAGGTATAAAGCAGACCTGGCTGTTTTACTGACATCTTAATGGTTCTTTCTTTTCACAGGAGTTATCCAAGAAAAATATCCAGTTATGAAACAACATAAGATGTCACTTCGCATGGTAATTGGCATCTTCGTGGTCGCTTTGATTGTGTTTCTCATTTATATGGTAAACAATCCACATAGAAGCATGCTAAATTATGCAATTTTCATGCAAAGTACCCCAATGAATAATCAAGGAGACAACTCGAGAAAACCAACAGAAGCTTCCCCAATGGAATTGACCGCATCTGGCCAGGTCTCCTCTAAAAACACTAGGATTCAACATCAACATCCAACCAAAGAACCTGGGATAATGTTTGTGCAAACGTCCAATGAGCTAGATCCTTCCCCATTGGTCATGTGCAGTATTGAATCAGCAGCTAGACTAAACGAAAAAAAAACAGTTTATTTTTTCATGAGAGCATTCAATGGGAATATATCTGCATATCAAGAACCTGAGTACAAAGCCATCCCTCTGCTTTCTTCATTCAAGAATGTGGTCATCTTGCCCTTGAATCCTAAAGAATTATTCAGCGACACACCCTTGGCTGGATGGTATGAGAAGGTAAGGAATTGTAAGGAGCTAGCTGCTTGATTTGTGGATGGTAAAAGCTGCTGTTGGTCACCAATCTGACAAATGAAGTAATAAACTTTACAGTGACAAGCTAAATCCCAGTTTCTATATGTGCAAGGATAGATCATGCTGAACTGGAATTCCTGTGCATTTTTATTGAATTTCAGTTTCAGGTCCAGACAATATCATTTGCAGAATCTGAAAGAAGACCAGGATCATTTCCTTCCTGAAAATCAAATGTTTATCTCAATTATTCAGACTGCATTTTGCTCATTGGTGGGATGGGGACCATTAGTCTGGAAACTCCCCAGAGAATATTAATTCAGTCTTTATCCAGCAAAAGTTAGACTAATGTTTTGCTTTGTGTTTCTCTCATGTTTGTTTGTTACAATGGGGATTGTCTGTCTATCCCAGTTAATTTCACAACTATACTATGTTGAAATGACTTCATTCATTTCAGAACAGAGAGTGTGGCTTAGACAATAGATGTCAGGGGAACCATTCCCAGGAGGATGGTAGCGGTTTTAATTGGTGACTCAGCTAATTAATCCCTGACACACAGCTGGAGGGGAACCAGGATCAAATCTTCTGTCATAAAAGCAAAATCTGAAACAAACACAAAAATGCTGGAGAAACTCAGCAGGTCTGGAGTGTATCTGTGGAAGAAGTTCTGAAGAGTCCTACCAGACTTAACATTAACTCTGCTTCTCCCTGCACAGATGCTGCCAGACCTGCTGAGTTTCTCCAGCATTCTGTGTTTGCTTGTGATCTATTGCTTTGGGTAATATGGGCCAGATTTTCTGAGGGGTGGTAATCTGATGCAGATTGTAGAGGTTGAGGGGGTAGGGTACCAGTTTAGTAAATTGCCAGCTGGGTAGGGTGCTGCTAGGTAAGGGGTCGGTTCCGCGGATAGAATGCCACATGCGTGGGGAGAAGGTGATTTGATTTTATTATTGTCACAAGGATCATGATACAGTGAAAAGTATTATTTGGCATGCTATCTAGGCAGATCATACCCATACGTATGTAGGTACATACATCAGGGTAATAGAACAGAATGCAGAATTATAGTGAGAGGTACGTTATAAGTCTGATAACAGCAGGGGAGAAGCTGTTCTTAAACCTGTTGGCTCCTGTTTTCAAACTTTTTTATCTTCTGCCTGATGGAAGAGAGTGGAAGAGACTATAACCAGGGTGGGAGGGGTCTTTGATGTTGGTTGCTTTCTTGAGGCAGTGGCAAGTGTAGATGGAAGGCTGGTTTGTGTAATGGACTGGGCTGCATTCATAACTCTCTGTAATTTTTTGTGATCTTGGGCAGAGCAGTTGCCGTACCAAGCTGTGATGTGCCTGGATAGGATGCTTTCTATGGTACATCGTAAAAATTGGGAAGAGTCATTGTGGACTTGTCAAATTTCCTTAGCCTCCTGAGAAAGTAGAGGCTTTGGTGTGCTTTCTTAATCATTAGTGTGTCAATGTGTATGGACCAGGACAGTGGTGATTTTTACTCCTAGGAACTTGAAGCTATCAACCACCTCCACTGCAGCACCATTGATACAGACAGGGCCGTGCCCTCCTCTCAGCTTCCTGACATCAATAACCAGCTCCTTCATTTTGCTGACATTGAGGGAGAGGTTGTTGTCATTACACCATGCCACTGAGCTCTCTGTTGTTTAAGATCCAATTCACTATAGTAGTGTCATCATCAATCTGGTGAATGGAGTTAGAGTTGAATTTGGCCACACTGTCGTGAGTGTATAAGGGGCTGAGTACGCAGCCTTGTGGGGCACCGGTGTTGACGATTACGGTGGAGGAGGTGTTGTCACCAATTCTTATTGATTGCAACTGGATCCTTGATAGACAGCAGAGTGGGTTGCAGAGTCCTAGGTCTCAGAATTTAGAGATGAGTTTTGTTGGAATTATGGTGTTGAAGGTGGAGCTAAAATCAATAAATTGGAGTCTGACGTAGATGTCCTTTGTTATCCACATGTTCCAGGGAGATGTCCGGTAAGATGCTGGGGTGCCAGCTGGGTAGGTTGCCTGCCCCATAGGGAGTTGGGTGCCATATGGTAGGATGCCAAGTGGATAGGGTGCCAAGGTGCAAGGTCAGGTTAATGATGGAATGATTCAGACAGGTTAGGGTGGTTGGGAGAAATGTGGTCCAGCAGGAGCTATGGAGGGTAGTGGTCAAGACTGGGCTAGGTGGCATTGAGTTTGTGTCCTGCTGGCAGATTGAGAGATGGTTGGGAAGCTGTTTAAGGTCAGGTTTGGTTTTGGTGGGGGAAGGGCTGGGGTAGGGGTGTTTGTCCTCTCCGGTTGCAAGGATTTCTATCCAGTCTGTATCAGCGATGGAGGCAGCTTTCACAGGATGAGGCCATCGCTGGCTAGGCCAGCATTTGTTGCCCATCCCTCATTGCCCAGAGGGGGGGTTAAGAGTCAACCACATCGCTGTGGGCCTGGATTCAACATAGGCCAGACCAGGTATGGATGGCAGTACCTTCCCTAAAGGACATTAGTGAATCCAGATGGGTTTTTCCAGCAATCAGCAATGGATTCCTGGTCATCGGTCGACTCTTAATTCCAGATTTTTGTGTTTTATTAAATTCCACCGTCTGTTGTGGCAAGATTTGAACCTGGGTTCCCAGAACATTATCTGGGTCTTGGGATTAACAGTCCAGCGAGAATACCACTAGGCCGTTGCCTCCCTATATGGGAACAGGAGAAGTGGGGGATGTGCAGGTCTGTATGACTTTCACTGTAATAACTGCTGTAGACTGCAGGAATGCATCTGGTATGATCCCATGTTCATGTTTCAGATTTTTGATGACCCTGGGTGGGGAGGGGGAATGGTACAAAGGCATTTGGGCCTATGGGGCAGGGGAACTTTCAGTCATTCATTAGTTTGTACAGTGGGAGAGGGGGGAGGAAAGTAGATAGGCATGTGCATATCTCCTTTCCTTTCACAGCACACCCCCATCTTCCTTTTCATCAGTACCCACATTACCTCTACCTCTACCTCTACCTCTCCTTGTCACCAGTTTCCCCATCTCCAACCACCTTGACATCCAACTCTATCTCCTCACCCCAAATCTCAAATACACCCTCCTTCAACCATGCCCCTCTATCTCCCTTTCCATTGATCAAGCCCCCTACTCTTAACCCACCACCTAACATCTACGCAACCCCCCCACCCCTGCAATTTGACCCCTATGACATCACCCCATCTCCCTCAAGGAGCTGTTGATTGAATAGATGGGCAGAAAGGACACCGCCCTTTTTACACAGGTTCACATTCAGCAGAAATCTGTTCTCACTGAGCCATTAGTCAGACCTCGCCCTCCAGGAGGTTTAAAACAAAAAGCATGAGTGCTTTAAAGGGGCCACGCAGCTTTCAGGAATCAGCTCCAGCTCCATGTTGGAGGTTATTACCTTGGCAACTTCAGTGATGGCAAGGGCTGGAATGATTAGGAGTATCTTCAAACAGCAACAGGAAGTGATGCGCTGCAAAGTGCTGAGCATTGGGTCTTCTGTCACAAGCCTCCTCTCCCTATGTGCCTCAGGAAGCTCTGACAGATTTCACAAGTGTCAGGTTTATCCTGTGTTAGCCCTTCTCGAAGGAAGGCTGTAACGTTAAGTCAGTGAAATGGCCAGCTCACGTGATATTTTGCTTATTTACTAGCTGTTTTACACTGCTGCTGAGCGAAACAATAAATCACAGCCCTGTGCAGTCTGGGTGTGTGGTGAAATAGTGAAGGGATTGTGATCATCTAGATCTACAGCACCAGTAAAAAGCAAGTACGTAACTATTCTAGCCCTACTTTATAGCACTTGGCCCATGAACTTTCGTGCCTTGATATCACAAGTGCACATTTAAATACGAGTTAAATACTTGCAGGGTTTCTGCCTCTACCACCCTTACAAGGCAGTGAACAAAAATAGTCATAGAGTAGGACAGCATGGAAACAGGCCCTTAGCCCAAACTGGTCCATGCTGATCATGGTGCTAACTCGGGTAGTTCCAATTGCCGATGTTTAGCCCATATCCCACGTAAACCCTTCCCATCCACATACCTATCCAAATGTTTTTTAAATATTGCTATTTTACCTGTCTCAACCACCTTCTCCTGCAGCCTATTCCATTACGCACCACTCTGTGTGAAGAAGTTGCCCCTCAGGACCTTCTTAAATCTTCCCCCCTCATCTTGAACGTATGCCCTCCAGTTTTCAATTCACCATCTCTGGTAAAAAGACTAAATGCATTCATCCTATCTATGCTCGTCATGACCTTGTACACTTCAATAAGGTCACCCCTCCTTCTCCTACATTCCAAGGGATAAAGTCCAATCCTAGCCTATAACTCAGGCCTACTAGTCCTGGCAGCATCCTTGTAAATCTTCTTTGCACACTTTCCAGTTTAACCATGTCTCTCCTATAACACGGTAACCAAAACTGTGCACATTACTCCTAGTGCGGCCTCCCCAGTGAATTATACAACTGTAATTTCACATACCAACTCCTATACTCAATGCCTTGACTGATGAAGGCCAGCATGCTAAATGCCTTCTTCACCACCCTGTCCACCTGTGGCACTGCTTTCAACAAACTATGAACTTGTACTCCTAGGTCTCTCTGTTCCACAACAATCCTCAGGGCCTTCCCATTTACTGTATAAATCCTACCTTGTTTTGACTTTCCAAAGTGCAGCACTTCACACTTATCTGTATTGAATTGCATTTGCCAATCCTCAGCCCACTTCCCCATCTGATCAAGATCCCTCTGTAATTTTTGGTAACCTTCCTCGCTATCAGTGATACCTCCTAATTTTGTATCATCTGCAAACATACTAATCATGCCTTGAACATTCACATCTAGATCATTAATGTAAATAACAAATAACAAAGGTCACAGGGATCGGTGCTGGGACTTACCACTAGTCACAGGCCTCCAGTCCAAAAAACAACCTTTGACCATCACCCTCTGCTTCCTACCATCGAGCTAATTTTGAATCCAATTAGCTAGCTCTCCCTGGATCCCATGTGACCTAACCTTCATGACTTGCCTGTCGTGTGGGACCGTGTCAAAGGCCTTAAAGTCCATATAGATAACATCCACTGCCCTACCCTCATCCATCCTCTTGGTTACCTCTTCTGAAAAATCAAAGATTTGTCAGACGTGACTTCCTGCGCACAAATCCACGCTGACTATCCCTAATCGGATGTTGATGATCCAAATCTTGGTTGATCCTGTCCTTCAGTATCCTCTTTAATAATGTACCTACCACTGATGTCAGGCTCACTGGCCTGTAGTTCCCTGGTTTGTCTTTGCTACCTTTCTTAAACAATGGATCAACGTTAGCCATCCTCCAGTCTTTCAAAACTTCACCATTGGCTAAAGATGGAGCAAAAATCTCTGCCAGGGTCTCTGCAATTCTTTCCCTAGCCTCCCGCAATGTCCAAGGATGGACTTGATCAGGCCCAGGCGATTTGTCCACTTTATTGCGATCTAAGGCTGCAAGCGCCTCCTCTCTGTTAATGTGTTTGTTGTCCAAAACACCCCCACTGGTTTGCCTTATTTCCTTAACGTCCATGATTCTCTCCTCAATAAACATGGAGGAGAAATATTCATTAAAAATCTCCCCCACTCCACCCACCCAACTCCTGCGCCTCCACAAATAGACTCCATGCTGATCTTTAAGGGGACCTATTCCCTCCCTAGACACCATTTTACTCTTAATATAGCTATAGAATCTCTTGGGATTATCTTTAAGCTCGTCTGCTAGATGTATCTTGTGATTTGCCACACTGTCCCTGGAATCTTGATATCACACTTTGAAAAACCTCCCATTTGCCAGTCGTTCCTTTTCCTTCAAATGGACTCACCCAATCGACTGCTGCTAGATCCTGCCTAATGGCCCCACAATTGGTCCTGCTCTGGTTTAGCACCTTAACCTGTGGACCTGTCCTATCTTTTGCCACAACTATGTTAAAACTGAGAGGGTTATGGTCACTGGACCCAAAGAGCTCTCCGACTGACACTTCAGTCCCTTGCCCGACCTCGTTTCCAAAGAGGAGGTCCAGGGTCGCACCATCCCGAGTAATGCTCTACATATTGATTTAGGAAGCTTTCTTGGACATATTTGACAAATTCCACCCTGTCCAGGCCTCGTATACACTGGGTAGCCCAGTCGGTACAGGGGAAATTAAAATCGCCAACCAATACTACTGTATTATTTCTAAAGGTATCTGCAATGTCTCTACACATCTGCTCCTCTAGTACCCACTGGCTATTTGGGGGTCTATAATACAGTCCCAACAGAGAGACCATCCTCTTCCTGATTCTAAGTTCTAACCATATGGCCTCATTTGATGACCCCGTAAGAATATCTTCTCTAAGCATTGTTGCTGTGTCCTCCCTTATCAAAAAGGCAACTCCCCCTCGTCTCCTTATACTTCTGTCATGCCTGTAGCTTCTGTATCCTGGAACATTGAGCTGCCAGTCCTGCCCAACTCTCAGCCATGTTTCTGTTACACCTGTAATATCCCAGTCCCCAGAGCCAGTCCATGCTCTGAGCTCATCTGCCTTACCAGTCAGGCTTCGTGCGTTGAAATAAATGCACTTTAAACCAGAAGTCTTTTCCCTCCCTTTACTGTGCCCTGACTATCATGAATGGTAAACTTGTTGTCGATGGCTAATGTATTTTCCCCTGACTTCTCAATGGCGACTCTCCTATTAATGCAGATTTCACCATTTGCATTGGTAGGATTTGAATCACATCCCAAGAACGTTGTCCTGGGGTTCAGGATTACAATCCCAGTGATATTACCACTGCATCATCACCTCCCCCCAGAAAAATGTTGATGGACAAACTATAGTGTGAAGGCCTGGTAGCCACATAAGGGAGTGGCTTCCCTGAAATTACTCGGGTACAAGGACCATCTTAATGCCAACAAGTAGAGGAACAATCCAGTGGAAGTGCTCAATGTATCACCACTGCTTTATCATAGACATTGTTGTAGGCATTTTAGCTCTTCCAAAAATGAGCAACAGAAACAAAAACTGAGTTTTTATTGAGTCGCGAACAATAACAGCTACTGAGAGCATTGGAAATGGGGAAGGGACAATGACACAAGTGACATTAGAACTTGCAAATGAAAAGTCTCCACCTAAAAATCCTGGGAGCATTTGGTCTCTGTTCTCTTGGGCTGTCTGGACCGTTGTCTTGTATTCCTCTCATGGACTTTCCTCTTGGACAATAACTGGAGCTTCATTATCCTCATTATCCTCCTCATCACCCTCATTCCCCTCCTCGGAGGATTTGCGCTCTCCCTGCGTTTCTTCCTCGTCAGCCAGCACATTACTGCCTTCAGAGTCTGACACACTGCTACTGCCCAGTTGGGTAAATGGAGGGTCATGGGAAACCATTGCTATTGGCCATGGAGGTTATTTGCTGCAATTAAACTGGTTGAAAGTCAGGTAAAGGCCAACAAAGCTGTGACCTCCCACACAAACAATGGAGGATCAAGCTGAAAAGTTTTGAAATGTTGGGTTTCTATGAACTGGAAATTTTAGATTATTTTTTATCAGGCTTGACAGGATTTGTAACCACCAAGTTATTACATTTAAAGTTTATATACTTATGTCTGAGTATGTGTACTGTCTCTTCTATCTTTGATGTACCTTGTTGAAGGAAAGGATCCAACGTGTGAGAGCAGGATGAGCGATTGAAAATGTAGTACATTCATCCAGTGACTCAATCTGGTGATAGCTCAAGTTTAGATTTCAAGCAGACGCACATTTGTCTATACCACAGCAATATTTCAGCATGAGCCATGGAACACAGCTGGAATGTGGTCAGAAATAGTCATTGGATTCTCACTCGATATGAAGACTGAGGGGTTGTTTTTTGTATCCGTTTGAGCTAAAGTTTTATTTGATGTGTGCTGTGGTGTGGTTCACAGGGCACTGGCTCTTGAGGTTGAAATGAGAGACTGTCCCGGGGAACAGTGGGGAAGGTGGCTGCAGGTTTAAGACTAAACCAACCCAGGTTCTCCTCTCCCCGTGACCCACCTTGCAGCCAGTTACAAAGTGCTCTCAGGAATTGGTGCTCAACCAGTGAGCTTTGTGTGGAGGGAGGGAATAGCATTTGGAGGGAAGGGTCATTTAAAATATCAAAAGATAAAAGTGATGAACCTTTACGCTGTTCCAGGTAGATCCCAGCAAAGAAAGCTACTGGTTCCATGTGCTCGCAGATGGCTGTCGGCTTGCCTTGCTGTGGAAGTACGGGGGCATCTATCTGGACACGGATATCATTTCAATCAAACCCTTGGACTTCAAAAACTTCCTCTGTGAAGAATCTAGTAATTATGCCAATAATGCAGCTTTGGGATTTAACCGCTCTCATTCCTTTATCAAGAGTTGCTTAAGGGATTTTGTTGAGGATTACAATGGAGCAGATTGGGGTCATCAAGGCCCTAAACTGATGACCCGGATGTTGAAGAAATGGTGTAGGACTGATGATCTCGATTACTTTCGGAACAGAAAATGCAAAGGGATCCTGTACCTGTCCAGCAACTGGTTCTACCCTGTTCCATACACCAATTGGGAGAAGATTTTTGAAGAAGATACGTGGAACGGGAACAATGAGGTGATTATAAATGAATTCTCAAAGACGAGTGGAATCCATGTTTGGAACTTTTTAAGTGGCCGTCATAAAGCTCACGTTAAAGGCAGTAAATCTTTAATAGAATACTTGTTTAGTAAAGACTGTCCAACCACATATAATTCTTTTGAGGAGATGATTTAAGATGCTGAAGAAGCTCAGCAAGTCTGATAGTATCTTTGGAGAAACAGAGCTAACATTCCGAGTACAGGATGATACTTCTTTGGAAGTGGACTGATCCTACGTTATGTTAATTTGCATATTTGCATTATTTGCTAATTACTACAAAATCGCTGCCAACCAAACCAGTCACTGTGACTGATACTGTGGGGTTCCACTTGGCCTCATCTCATTGTATTTTCATCTGTATCTTTCTACTGTCTGTGAGGCTGCTGGGTAATGGTAAGGAATGAGATGTGGAATTCTGCCTCTAGTTTTACCCTCTACCCTGCTCTCTTTCTCCCCCCCCCCCTGCCCCACACCCATCAACCCCCAGTTATGTTTCTAATATAATCCATGCATCTGGTTAATTGTTGACTCAGCTTTTGTTCACATCAAGACGCTATGTTGCCTTATTTGAAATATAAATAATATATTTTCTCCAGGACAGAAACAGTATTATTGTGACTAGACCATACACAGTATACAGAATGAAAATAAGTTTAATCCTGGGGGGTTGCTTGTTGGAATCATCTTGACCTTTAGTTCTTAATGTACTAATAATTGCACATTCTTAAGGGTGGAGAGACTCCAAGCTGCCTCTGTCATCCTTTCTTAACGCTAACACATCACTGATTTTTGTAGTCTCTTGGTCAGATATTTTGTGATAAAATTGGATCCTGCCTCTGATAACATCACCTTCAGACACAATATTGTGAAAGGCTTATCTTCACTGTAGTCCTCTCTACAACTGGAAGTATCCCCTATCTGGGCAAGGCTACTTTTTTTTTTGTAGTTTGAGTACGGAGTGCAATTTATTTCAAAACCTCTGGGATATTTAGTCCCAGATTTTCAGTGCTGTATCACGACAATGTAGCGAAGGTGACCCAAAGTCTCAAGTGCCACCTCCAAACAAAGTGCTTGACAATTTCACGGGGCCAGTAGTGAAGGAATTCAATCTTTGCACGTGTAATTTTTGTGGCGTGTCTGGTCTTTTACGCCAGCAATTGCCTCTGCTGAAGTGGGAGTTAGCATCCTTGCAGAATGGAACCTGAAAACTACAATTTACTTTTCCTGCTACACAGATGGAAGAAATCCCAGCTCTAACAGCCTGATTTTTTTTTTTTTTTTTTTTTTTGTTAGAATGGTTACCTGCACTCCCTATATCTAATTTCTCATCACACATAGTCCTTTATAACTCCTGTGCCCTAGTCATCTTCATAACCATTATGGCAAATCATTCCATTCATGTCAACTCATTCCCCCTGTCCAACTTATTTTACCCTTCATTCTCAATGTCAGCTCATCGACTTTCAATGGGGATATCTCAAGATGCATGTTGATAGTATGCACCAAGAGATAGTAAGAACTGCTGATGCTGGAGTCTGAGATAACAAGGTGTGGATCTAGAGGAACACAGTAGGCCAGGCAGCATCAGAGGAGCAGGAAAGCTTACGCTTTGGATCTGGACAGTCTGAAATGTCTTCTAAAGAAGGGTCCAGACCCGAAATGTCAGCTTTCCTGCTCCTCTGATGCTGCCTGGCCTGCTATGTTCCTCCAGCTCCACACCTTGATAGTACGTATTGATGCCTCAGTTGCAAAAAGCATTGAAATTCGTTCAACTACTCCCTTATGAAGACACCTTATTGATAGAAATAAAATTCATAGGAACTCCTGCCAGTCCATGTAATCTAATGCCATCTGCCTAAGGTACCCTTAAATGCCTAGTCCCTTATGCTAACAAACATTTCAATTTAATAAGCAGTTGAAACTAGTCATCAAATGCTCACTAAATAGGCACCAGTTTAGGAAATCCAGTAGTGCAGCAACAATCCTACAATAGCTTTGCATGAACAGGCACTCTGAAAGACTGAACAGCATTTTCTTTTAACTCCAGTCATTTCTTTTTTCGAGATGGTAATATTGTCAAGAAACCACTTATAAGAACTAGGAGCAGGAGTAACCAAGTAACCAATTCAGCTGCTTGAACCCACCCCACCATTTAATACGATCATGACTGGTCTCATCTTATCTCTGCCTCTACGCACTTTCTTGCCTGCTCTCCATAATCTTTTTCAATCCATTACGAATTTCCTGTTATTACTTCCTTAATAATGGATTCTAACTATTTCCCAAGAACACCTATTAAACTAACTGGTCTGTACAGGGGGTTCTGCTATAATGCATATTCCAGCAACGTGAATTAGCCATAACATGATTGACGAACAGGGGAACACTATTTCTAAAATGTAAACTTGCGTTGGCTATAACGCGATTCCATTGTTGCGCGGAGGAGTCGGCATTGACAGCACGTGATCGTTTTGCAGGCTTTGTCCACTGTTCTTCAATTTTGGAAGATCTTTTAACATCAAGAATGCAATTGACATTATCGTGGAGGCCTGGGGTGATGTCAGGAAGGGCTGTCTGCGTGCAGTTTGGCGGACGCTTCTCCCAGATTTTTTCCAAGATTTTAAAACCTTTGATCCGTCAGAGGAGCTCCCAAGATTCAAAGAACATGGTGTTGATCTTGCAAAGCAAGTTGGACTTGAAGTGAAGAGTGAGGATGTTGAAGAGTCTTACTGTGAAGACCTCTTTACAGCTGATCTACAACAACTTGTCAATGAGGGGAAAGTGGAAGCTGGAGATGAAGATGAAGAAGTCCAGGATGCAGTACCATGAAAGCTTTTACACTTTCTGTTTTCTCTTCTATCCTGAGAGAAATTGAGAAGCAGTTTCAGCTCTTAGAGGACAAAAATTACAATGCAGAACGCTGCAGGGTAGCAGTTGGTAGGATAAGATCTTATTTGACACCCTATGAACAGCTGTTTTATGAAAGAAGGAAAAGGGCAAAGCAGCAAAAACTGGATTTTTTTTTTTAAGCCAACCCCAAGAAACAGTCAGAAGACAATGAACCACAGCCATCCACTTCTGGATTAACTATTTTTCGCCCTAACCCTGTAACCACAACTGCACCTGGAGGTGGTGATGATAATGATGATCACCTTCAGCCCCTGCATTAACCACAGAGGAACCTCAAAACCAACTCCCCCATCAAGTCATCTTGACATTTTTTTCCAAGATAAGGTGTTTACTTTAATTTCCTTATTAGATATGAATTAAACATTTATTCAAACTATGCTATCCTTTTGTGTTAGGCTTTTGTGTGATTTTTGTTTTGATGGCCATCCCCTTAATCCTGCTTTTCCCATCAGCCCCATTATTTCTATAGCGCAATTTTCTATAATGTGATGTCGCGTAGGAACACAACTATCGCATTATAGCGGAACCCCCCTGCAGATTCCTAGTTTCTACCTTCCTCTCTTTTTGAATGAAGGCATTATATTAACATTTTTCCAATCCACTGGAACCTTTGTCACACCCAGGGAATTTTGGAATATTTTAACCAATGGATCCACTATCTCTCCTGCCAGTTCCTTTTAAGACCCTAGGATGTAAGCTAGCAGGTCCTGGGGACTTGTCTGCCTTCAATCACAATAGTTTGCTTAGTACGTTTTCCCTTGTGGTGATTGCTCTCAGTTCCTCACATTCTATAATTTCTAGAGTACATTTTATTAATGAGGTGGTACTACTGTCATCCACTGCGATAACTGAGGCATATTGATTTAGTAACTCTGCCATTTCTGTGTTGCCACTATTACCTCCCCAGTTTCATCCTCCAGAGGACCAGCATTCACTTTAACTGATCTCTTCCCTTTCATACACTTCCATAATCTTTTGCAATCAGTTTTCATATCTCCTAAGTTTCTTTCATAATTTGCTGTTATTATTACTTTTTCAGTAGCCCTTCATTGATCTTTAAAAGTTTCCCAATTCCAGCCTGCCACTCACCTTTGAAATATGGTATGCCTTAGGTTTTGTCTTTTTGCTTTTGTCTTTAAATTCTTTGCATAGCTATGGATGTTTATTCCTGCTCTTACAGTCCTTTTTCCCCTTTTTGGAATATGATTTAGTTGGGAGGAATCGAATATCTCCTTAAACAAATGCCCCTGCTCATTAGACAGTCAGTCAAACTTTTAATTTTGTCCAGTCCACTAAGTCCAAATCTGTACTTGTGCAGATGTCGTTCTGTTTGTTTAACTCTAGAATGCCAGTGTGGGACTCTAGTTTCTAGCCTCCAAACTGAATTAGGAATTCTTGCATGTTATGATCACTTTTTCCCCAGAGGATCCTTTATAATGAGATCACAAATCCCACCTCATTACACAATGTCAAATCCAGAATAGTTTGCATCCTGGTTGATTGCATAACCTATTGCTCCAACAAATAATCTGCTACACTCCATGAGCTCCCCCATGAACTACCCAAATCAGTTTGATTAATCCAGTCTATGTGCACAATAAAATCACCCACGCTCATTCTCCAACTTTCCTTAAGCCTGCAGTATTTCCTGGTTTATACTGGGCTCCAATGTAAACCTAGTGTTTGAAGACCTACAAATTACTCCCACCAGGTACTTATTTCACTTGCTATTTCTTATTTCTAGCAAGACTGCCATTTCTTACTACAGTACTGGTCTCTTCCTTCAATAATAAAGCTAAGCTACCTCCTTTTTCTTCCTGCCTATCCTCCTTAAACATGGAGTACCCCAGATATTCAAATTCCAAATCTGTCCCCCTGCAACCGAGTCTCCATAATCACCACCAAGTCGGACAGATTCACCACTGTCTGTCCTGTTAACTCATTAATTTTATTCTGAATGCTTTGTGCATTCTGATACAAAGTATTTAAGTTTTCTCTATTTCAAATTTCCTGACACTTTAATGATTCCTTGGTGCAATATGATATTTACACATTCTGTCCCTGCC